GTTGGAAAGCCCAAAGTCCGCTATTTTGACGTTGAGATCGTCATCAAGAAGCACATTCTCTGGCTTGAGATCTCGGTGAACAATTTTGAGCTTGTGGCTGTACTCTATGCCTGAGATGAGTTGCTGAAAGAACCTCCGGGCTCGGGGCTCCGGCATCCGTCCGTTAGCTACGATGTAATTGAAGAGCTCGCCACCAGCGTACTCGAGAACGATGATGATATCTGTAGGGGTAGAGATCACTTCGTAGCTAAAAAAAATCATAAGATGGCACAGCAACAATTGTTTGAAGGACATACAGCTTGATGATATGTGGGTGCCGCAAGGTTCGCATGTACTCTACTTCCCTCTGGACACGAGTCTTGGTCTTGGTCATATGGATGACTGCCTTGGATATGTACTTCATGGCAACTTTCTGACCTGTTATGGTGTGAGTAGCCACTGCGGAACATTCATTAGTCCATCCAGTACAGAGATCGAGTAAATTTGTAAGATGTACTTTTGACCTTGCCAAACGTCCCCTCCGCGATATCCTGTATGACTGTGTATTCACCCAGCTTCGTCGCTGGGTACACTATTTGTTCGCTCATGGCGGAGAGCCGTTGGTGGATGAGTATTCGTTGCCGTCTTCGCGATCGTTAAGCTCGTGTTGTGCGTCTGAATTGAAGGAAAATTGGGAAGTGCTTGGGATTTGATGTTGTTACGTACTTGATTTTGGGGTCTTACCTGCTTATGTATATCTTGTCATTCCCAGGTTGACTCAACCCCACTTTTTGCTTGGCAATAACTGTAACAAAGTTCAAAGGTCGGATTTGCCGATTTTGGTCCAGATTCAATTGAGCGTGGATTTTCTTGAGAGGACGGATTCCCATCACACTTTTGACGTATTTAATATATCCCGGCATACTAATCGTATACTTCGAGGAGGCTTTCCGAGGTTCAATTTTGACTTCAGTGACTGACTGTATGATTCAGATCGCACCCCTGCAGATGGTGAGGTGAGGTATATTATTATTCGATATTGCCTAAGTGAAATAGGTATGATCCAGCACCGTACGGCGTACGTCGCAGTGGCAAATAAAACTGTCGCAAGACTCCTCCTCGAGGACGGGGATAGACTCCCCCCCGGCGCGATCAACGAGCTCATTCACCGATCACCGATCAATGCAGTTCTTCAACTCCTCCTGCGATCCGCATGCCATCTGACTTGCCATCAGGTAAACGATAAGTACCAGAATTATCTCCGTTGGAGTGAGGCTTAACTGAATTGATACCACTCGCACTGAATCAGATAATCGTTCCTTCTTTATTATTCCAAAGCCTCACTGCGTAGTAATTCCAGCTGAAACACTCCATCATATTTCGCAGCATATCATCAACAGTATATATACTTTCCTGCCAGATTACTCACACTAAGCCCTTCTGGCCACATAAATTTCAAACGGATCACCCTCATCTCCGGGTTGGAAGATTCCTCCATCGGAAGCATGAACGGTGTTTATCTGCTATCTGTTGGGTGTGTTCTCAGCTGGTGAGAAACTGCTGATGACGAGCAGTTTTGGCAATAATATCTCCCCTGTACCAGGTGATAATCCGAATGCTCTGGAGCAACCTTCTCTTGCCACGTCCCATAGATAATGCAGCTCCACTCGACCGGAAGGTAATTTCAATTACATAGTGTTGCGCGGATAAATTTTAACTTTGCCCGTAGATAAGTCATATCTAGATGCTCGCCCTACGATTGCATCACGATCCCGTAAGTTCGGCTGTGCCCCGTCAACTACAATCCCTACTAGCGCAAAGACATCTGTGACCACCGTAGTAGCTCATGGAGGTACAAGAATGCCGAAATTTCTTTTGTGATGCTCGACATTTGGGCAACTGCTGAACGCGGATGTTGAACAGTTAACTTCTGAGGTATCTTGACTTCTATCGTTTTGAGCGCTGTACTATCAAAACTGCCAGAAAACGATCACATCTGTCTTCCGAGGGCTCATTTGACAAAAGTACTCGAACTACGACTCAACAAAAAACTCTGTACCCAATCAGATCATCTGGTTCTGGAAACAAGTTCATTCTTTGGCGCTTGTCAATGCGATACCACGCCCGGTCCTCACTAGGCCTTGCAACATACCCAGCTATAGCAGCTAGGCACAGATAAGAATGCTGTTATGTTACATTTCTATGGACGAGTGCGGACCGAAACTTATAATCGTTCCTCCTTTGGTCTCACACATGAAATTCGTGGAACCTCGTCGCCCTTGTTGAGTCGTTCATAAAAATGGAGGGGCAGTGCGGTATAGCGGTGCATCAAGGCGGTCTTCTTGATCTTTGGATACCAGTGAGGCATGCGACTAATCAAGCAAAAAAGTTGATATTCGCCGTCTATCTTTGCTATCAGTGCAATATGCCGTGAACAAATGGCATGTGAACCAGACGTACCATCAGGGTTCAAATGGACGCTAGTCTCTTGTTCCTACACACCCTGCGGTGGGGGGCGGCCAATATTGACAGGATTCACAGCTTCCCGCGTTGAAGTTGACAATGTCATTAATTAAAACCATCCCTTGTAAGAGATCCTGCAATTTTGGTACGCCATGTTAACACGGGAATACAGTGCAGGAACCCTAAAAATTCGTATCATAGCGCCGAGGTCAGGGATAATTGCTTCTGGCGCATTATAGCAGTAGGTTAGAAGACATGGTGCGTAATAGTCTTCCTAGATTCAGCGACCAAAAGAGCAGCATCAAATCTCTTTGGGTCGGCCATGAAACAATCTAAAGCAACCGAATTCGTTCGGAGATAAGTAGATAGGGTGAGGGGAGGACTTTTGCGAGGAAAAAATAGTTTCAGCTTTGAAAATCAGTAATGCACAGCAAAAGGAACGCGGTCATAGCATGTCAACCTACCTGTGTGCACAACGTGGCAGATACTTAGGCAGAGCCAGTGAGAAGGAACTAAACCGGTTGTCAGATAAATGCCACCATACAAACATCGCTGGAGCGATGAAATAGCACAGGTTCAAAAACAAGACGCACCTTTAGAACTATTGTTTTCAATAATCATTCACCAGCCTGTCATAATCAAATTTTCGGTAATGTGGCAAGAGAAAGTCAACCAGTGTTGCGCTCCCTCATACCGATCGGGATCGTTTTAAAAAAAAATCTATTTCCCTGCGAAGGATTGGTAACAAAGTTCAGCAGATTTAGGTTGCACTGTGCGACTACATACCAGCGGTGATTCCAGTAAGATACACGACTACCCGCCCCTGCATCGATGTTACAGGAATCACCCGACTCGACTGAGCAGGTAAGCTTCTCATAGTAGTCCGATCACCTTCAAATATCAGGTGTCTGCGATAACCCCCCGGAATAAACAGAACAATTACATGATATGAAGTTGCAGATCTCTTTGAGCTTTAAATTAAAGGACTTGAACATGGGCTTGTTATGTATGTGATGAAATCGACCACCTTGCATATTTGGGGCATTGACTGTCCTTGAAAATAATATATGTTTGAAGCGGCTGTAGACAGTCGTAAGACCAACATGTTTAGTGAGGTCTCTCTCACTCAAAAAACGGTGTAAAATATTTCAGATCTTTGGGATTGGATCTTGTGATGACAGGCTAACGCTTATAAGGATCGGCACGTCAGCATAACTTTGAAATGTTCAGAGGGGCTTATCGGGCAAGATCAAGCAAACCAGTGATTCCATATAGAGAATGGGTGGTAAAACATACAGATGGATATGCGGGAATGATGCTCCGAGTCCTATGGTACAAACATGTAAAGGAAAAAAAATGAAGGAATTACGGAAAAAGAAAACACGCAACGTAGATTATGCAGCCACTTTTATGGCCATTACCTCCTTCTTCAACGCATCGCACTTGATTTCTTGCGCTTCAGCATGCTCGATTGTCTTCGCGAGTTTCTCCTCCCTGTTCTGCAAGCGCTGCTCCATGCCGAGGACGAGGAGGCGAATTTGTTCTACCTGCGATAATGTAGCTTCAACCGCAGCTTGAGAGACAGTCGCAGAGGTAGATGAATCAGGATTGTCCGGCTGAGGTGTTGGAGTTCCTCGAGAGAAGACGGACCCCATAACAGTACGAGCTGCGAATGTTGATGAAGACGGCGCTATGTCGAGCACACTCTGAGGGCACATCAGATGTATACGATTCATGATATTTAGCAAGAGTGCATACCTGCCAGTTCTCGCCCGCGAATTTGGCCAGAGCTTGCTCCAACATTTTCTCCCTTGTCTTCACCCTACAACAACGCACCGTCTAGAATGAATAATAGGCGCATGTATATGTACGCACCTGACCAGTTCTGCCATGCACCTTTCATTCTCTCTTTGAGTTCCCTGCAGAATCAGATCTAGATTCTTATATTCCTTCTCCAGCTCCTGGATCCTTTCTATGGGTGGTCTCAAAGTAAGTTGTTGTTGTAGCGTTAATATGGTTGATTGAAGCTTGAATAAGTCTAAGTCAGCTCATTTGTGCAGCACAGATCGTCGCACAGGATTCATTAAACTGACCTTATCATTCTCGCGATCTTTGTCTAGGAGCTGCCGTCGCAATACATCTTCGATAGTAGGCTCTTCCCCCTCACGAAGAATGCCAAGATCATCCGCAGCTGCTGCAAGAGGTGTTTTTCCGTAGTTGCGCACACTGTGTGCACGGCGCATGTTCGCCATCTGACTTCACGTCGTCGTTAAACGAAAAATCATTCGGAGCCTCAAGAACATGTGTTGACAACCGGATGCACGTGACTGACGCGTTTGAGGGGCTGATTTACGACACTTCTTGTCAGCACATCAGCACAGGACAGACGAAATTGCAACAACAGTAGACGCCCCAGCACATATATAGGGGAGGCGAGAGAATCGAGAATGGACGTCTCTGTTATGCATTCCAGTCATGCGCACATATCGAGTGTGTCCATAACGTAATCAAACTACAAAAGCCGTTAAACTTACAATAAGATTGAACGGGGAACTATCATGCAGGAGAAATTGGGTACAGGATGATAAAATAATCGCAAAGGAGATTCTCTGCGGCACGTCCTAGGAATCACGCTGGCAGTACAAACGAAGACGATAAGATAGTTGCAAAGTCGATGTCCGTATGATTTGATAGGCACGGAGGCTTGGAGAGACGCTTCTGTGGCGAAGAAGCCCATTTGGACTGAAGGACGACGGAAGCATTCCCCGGACGCGCCTGCTCGACCTGGTGACGTCTTGATCACGGACGGAACTTACTCCGGTGGTGAGAAGTGGTGCAGACATCCTATGAGTAACACGAGAACCTTGTTCGCCACCGTCACTCCTCTTCGAAAAGGTCCCTGTTACAGCATGCCGCAGATTGTTTTAATGGTGATGCCCGAGGAGCCCTAGGTCTGGGTGGGACAGCGTCGATGATTGGCGCTTTGATAGAGTTCGCTGTCGAAATTCCAGAAGTGCAGGGATGGGAGTTGACGGTTCTGGCCAGTTCCTTGTTAGAAAGTGGTGCATCTAATGCGTCCAGCCCCAGCCTTCTCTCACCATTTTCGGTCACAGCTGCGGAGATATTAGAGGATCTGTGCGCGCATGAGTCGAACGTGATGATCGTACTGCCTTTGTATGCGGGAGAATCCGAGAGATCAAGACCGTGGCTCACGTCAGGGTTCGGTGGTTGTCCTGTGAAGGAAGACATGTCAGTGGAAACCAGAGGGGAAACCGGAGACTACCGTCCAGTTGGCGCGGAGTGATTAGCAGAGTTGAGATTGGGAGATGATCGAGCAGGATAGATCCCTCGCTGTCCTGAGAATGATAGCCTGATCATTACATAGTACGACGCTTGACATTAGTGAGGACAAGGACAAGGAACGGGAATCCATACTCCTGAGATGTGAAGTAGTGAGCGGCCTCGACGAGAACGTTGGTGGTGCTCGCTGTGGATAACTTTGCAGTGCTTCGCGAAGCAGAATCAGTGAATGACCTCATATGGCCATCGAACATCGTAGAGAGAGAACCAGAGCTCGCGAAAGTTTATCCTTGTTCGAATGCTTGAAACTTGTCTCCTGGCTAGATGGTCAGGTATAGTCGTTGACCGGCACATTAACGTACCGGTTGGTATGGATTCAGGACAGTTCCGGAGTGTTGACTTGGTAATCAAAACAGACTGTTGCTGGAAAACTGCTAGTCGTTTGATGTTTGTGTTGTGTTCCATACACAGAAGTCATGATCAAGGCTTTTAACGGGTATTCAACGTTCGCGCTCTGAACACTGCTGAGGATCGACTCACCTTGGAGGAAAATCGTCTCCTTATGTGCCCCAGTCTATGTCGAGAGGCGGGTGTAGGACTTGTATCGCGTACCTATACAACATAAAGTTGTCCTCAATTTCTCACCAACACATTCTTATAGCTCACTGCATTATCCTTGAGTCAGATCGTAGGGACGGTCATCAAAACTTGGATAGAGGAAAGGGCATATGCGTACCTGATGGGACTTCAGACACGCCTAAGAGTAAACATTTGATGGGACACGACTCGAGAGCGGGGAACAATGATCATGGAGAAATATTATAAAATCTGAAATCTCGTTCGTCTCTCATGTTGAAGGAAGAAAACTGCAAAGGCTATGCATGACTTAGTCGAAGACGAGTCTGGCGGGATATGGAGGATTCTTGGGCGTGCGACTGCGACTTTCTGGTCGCCGAGCGAGGCAATGGGTGTTATGTCGAAGGACTGCACCATCAGCAAGTCAAATGGTTTATACATAAACATGAACTTGAAAGCACTGACAGGCTTGAACTTGAGTATGAGCTTGATCAAGTTTTCACTGGGCTTGAGCTTGAGGATCCGCCGAGTCTGAACTAGACGGTGGCAGTGAGTCACTACAGATGGGGGACACGCCTCATTTCTCAGTCTGCAAGCTTTTCATTACGTACCCCTGGATTCGTTGAATGATGATTTGGTCAACGAACTGACCTAAATTTGACATCCATGATGCGCCACGGCCCACGTAACAGAGGTAGGCTTACAGAACCCTCACTTGCTTGACATATACTCTTGGACAATATTAATGTCCCTAATCACACACAGACAGTCAATCGATATGATTGATTTCTTGTGAGTTCCATGTCTTCTCGCGTGACATGCGGCCTGACGCAGTCTGCGGCAGTTGTTATGGCGAACTAGGATGGGCACGACGACAGGTACTTGATAAGAGCACGCCTGAAGCCAGATTGTGTCCTTACAAATGTAAGGTTCTTAAGACAAGTCAGAGAGAGTGTCTCTAACTTGAATATCGGTTATCAGACGACTTAGGATTGGAGATCCTAAGCAAAGGATAGTTCAGGTAAGACCTAGTAGATTAAAGTGAAGTCTATCTAAGTACATGACCGGGTTTATATAGACGTAGGTACTGTAAGGCAGGTACATACGCATCATTGGTCGAGTCAGAGATAAGAACTACGTCATTGAGACGAGTCAGAGATAAGGGTGACGTCATCTAGCAACGGCACTTGGCAGTTGTGATGTAATACAGATATAGGAAGTGGTTAGTCTAATGATGGCACAGTGGGGTGCGGTCATGACGTAATACAAGTGTAAGGAGAAAAGAGATAGGGGGCAACCACGATTGTAACATTACCCCTCGTTTAAGGATGAAGTCACTGACTTCAATTATCCTGATTAGCCCAGTAAATGGGGTCCGCGTCGTAGTTGGAATAAAGCAGGTCGTCCTGCTCCTCGGTGATGGTAGTTTGCACCGTTTTGGCAGCAGCATGGGTGATAGCATCTTGCTCAATCTCCCATTGAGCAAGCGCGTCGTAGAAACCAACGTCAGTCCATACTAAAGGAATGACCGCTTCTCCCTTCAATTCTTTACAAAAGACCGATAAATGGCCGGGTGCATATTCCTGGCAAACTCTGCAGTAATACGCGGGGCAATTCTTATGACGGTGCCCAGCGACGTGGCAATTACGGCATACGACGTTGTCGACCAGCGATGTTTTTATGATTGTGATGGAAGAGGATTGGTTTGGGGGAGAGGGTGATCTCGATCATTTAAGTGGGGCTTTAGCAGGGGAGATGGAGGCTGCTCATTTAGCGGTGAGACAAGAGGATCTTTGCTTAAGTGGGAGTCGTTGTGTTGTACGTGTGATGGGGTCAGGAGAAGGAGAAGCTGGTACGTCGAGTACAGCGATAGGAGGGATGTTATCATCCTGACGCTCCATGGTAGTTGTAATAGGAGCTGGCAGTGGTACGGGGACGGCGATGTGAGGGGATGGTGGTTGTGCGACGGGGTCAAGGGCAATGCGCTCAGTAACGATATGAATAGCCTCTCTAATAGCGTCTCTAGTCTCCTCAGGCAAGAGACAGATCGCAGTGTTGCGAATGCATATGTGAAGGTGGCGGAAAATGGTTTGATGACGCTCATCATCAAGGAGGGCGGCGGTACGGTCAATAAGGCTGGCATCTCTAATAATCCTGATTATAAGGCCGCTAGATATCACCCCCCGTTCTCCAAGGAGATGGTCTATTTCTATGGCATACTGCTGAGAGGTGATAGCGGACTCAAACAGAGCACTGGTTTCTACTTGGTCAATGACTGAGAAGTAGTCAGTGAGGATGGAGTCGTCGGTGAGGGTCAGAGTAGAGTTGGAAGCTGGTGGTGAGGTTATGGGGGATGATGCATGCAGGGCAAGATTGGCGGCGGTAGCGTTTTGATAATCAAGAAGTGTCAACGGGTGAGCGTTTCCTTCGGCGACGGTGTTCATAGCAGCAGTAAGTTCTTTGATGCGGAGGATACAGAGGCGTAGTCGTTCAATGTGGGACATTGTTAGAAAATCTATAGCCCATGGCTTCTCTTATAGGCGGTGAGGATGTCGGAGGCATTGGTGAGATTTCCTTCTGGAATCCACTCGTTGCTGGTGGAGGAATATCCTTTCCAGGATACAAGATAGTGTCTTCGTTTACCCGTCCCTTTGTGCGATAAGATCGTATCAATTTCGTATTCTTCTTCATTATTGATGATGTCAGGAGGTGGGTCATGGAAGTTCGGCCTGTGAACCTCTGTTTCGCAATAGGATGATAGCTCAGAAGCATGGAACGTGGGGTGAACTTTCCATTGTGGAGGTAGCTGGAGTGTGAATGTGATGGGGGAGAGGACGGCGGAAATCGGGAAAGGACCATATCGTTTGGGCGCAAGTTTCCGTGATAGTAACTGTGTAATCAGGTTCCTTCCGGACAACCAAACCTTATCTCCAATCTTCCATGGATGATACTTTTGCCCATGAGTTCGTTCTGCCATTCGCTGCATAGCAAGGTTATGGCAGGAGAGGGCTTCTTCTCTGGACTTCTGGAGGAGGCGGAGTCTATCCTCTGCTGCGGGAACCGTGGATTTGGGGAGAGTATGAGGGAGAGCTCATGGTTCATATCCCATCATCAGAAAGAAGGGTGACGCATTACGAGAATCATGTTTTCGATGATTATGCACGAATTCTGCCATGGGGAGGTGTTCTACCCAATCTTCAGGGTGATTGCGACAATAAATTCAGAGGTACGTCTCGAGCTCCTGATTGAGTCATTTGGTCTGGCCATCAGTCTGAGGGTGATAAGCTGTGGATGCGGCGATGTCATATTTCAAAAGCTTGGCGAGGGCTCGTGAGAACTTGGATACAAATTGCAGCCCTCAATCAGAGATAACTTTTTCGTGTAGGCCGAATCATCAGTAGATGTATTTGAAAAATTTCTTGGCGATTCCCTCGGACATGATGGTCTTAGTACATGGGATGAGAATTACCCCCTTCATAAGGCCATGGTCGACCATGACCATGACAGAATCAAAGCCAGCACAAGGAGGGAGGTCGGTGATAAGGTCAATGGAGACTTGGGTGAACAGAGCTGCAGCGGCAGATGGGATGGGGACAAGGGGAGGTGTCATTGGGTGCGTATCAGATTTCATTTGCTGGCACAGGGCGCAGCCGTCAATGTATTTATGAATATAGGTTCCCATAGAGGGCCACCAGAAGTCCCGCTTGACTAATTCTTCAGTTTTAAAATGTCCGGGGTGACCAGCGGTGGGGTGATCATGACATCATTCTAAGATAAGATGCCGCCCAGCGGGGCGGACGTAGGCGCGATCTTTATAATAAAGAATGTCGTCCTTGATTGCCCAATCCACAAGGGCGGATTTCATCGGGGGAAGGGAAAGACCATCTAATGCATCAGAGGCGGCGGTAAAGATTGGGTCAGGATCAGAGGGATCCGGGTTAGCAAGGGTGGTCATGAGTTCTACGTCAAGAAGTCGGACAAACATGGAGTCGGGAAGGAGGGTTTCGTCTTTATTATCTTTGGAAGAATCTGACCCATGGTCGGGACAATGAGAGAGGGTGTTGGGGGCAACGAGTTTAGTTCCAGCGACGTGGTGGAGTTCAATATCATAGCATGACAGGATTAGCTGCCATCAGGCTTGGCGATGGGTTAACTTCTGAGCTGTCCTGAAATATAACAGGTTCTTATGATCCGTGAAAATGATAACAGGATGGGGGTTTCCTTCAAGGTAGTGACACCATTCTGTGAGAGCATGAATGACTGCAAGAAGTTCGCAGTCAAAGATCTGGTAATTTCGTTCCGCAGGGTTCAAAGTCTGTGATAGATATCCGCATGGGTGGTAAATGCCAGCGTCATCAGTTTGAAGTAACATGGCTCCCATAGCGACAAGGGACGCATCGGTTGCAACAGCAAACTGTCTGGTAGGGTTGGGATTCTGGAGGACTGGTTGCTTTAAAAAGCATTCCTTCAGGGTGGAAAACACCATCATGCATGGTTCTGACCAAAGGAATTTGATGGCTTTCTTGGTGAGGTCGATCAAGGGTCTGGTGATGTTGGAATAGTGGGAGATGAAGTTTCAATAGAAGTTGCAAAATCCCAAAAATGACCGAACCTCTTTTACGGTTGTAGGAATAGGCCAGTCTCGAATACCATTGGTTTTGGCGTCATCCATTGCCACACACCCGGGGTGGATTATCATCCCGAGATACTCTACTTCCTGGGCGTTGAATGTACATTTCTCCGGTTTAAGGAAAAGCTTTTCTTGCCAAATTCTTTCAAGGATACGTCATGTTCGTTCATGATGGGAGGTGAGATCATTTGAGAATATCAGAATATCGTCCATATATATGATGAGCCAACCTTCGTTTATCTCCTGCTGAAAGGTCCTATTCATATACACTTGGAAAGTTGCAGGGGAGTTGCAAAGACCAAAGAACATGACATTTGGTTTGAAAAGACCGAGTTCAGTAGTGAAGGCGGCTTTCCATCGATCTTCCGGATGAATACAAATGTTGTTATATCCTGAACGAATGTCCATCTTTGTGAAATATTTGGCGCCGTGTAGATGAGCGACCAAAGAGAGTGGTAGGGGAAGTGGATAGGCATTCTTAACCGTCCATTCATTAATGTATCGGTAGTCTTGACAAGGACGAAGATCTCCACTTTTCTTTCCCACAAAGAAGAAACCGCTTGCCTGTAGCAACTTTGATTCAGAAATGAATCCTTTCTTCACGTTTTCATCAATGAAAGCTTTGACTGCCATGCGTTCAATTTCCGATAATGGGTACACCTTAGATGTCTTGGGAACATAACCAGGTTTGGTTTCGATCCGATGATCTATACCAGGTCATTCTGGCGGTAGCTGGTTTAAACCGTCTTTCGCAAAGATGTTGGCGAAGTCATGAAGATAAGGGGGAACAAGCTCTTCAAACGATTTCTTCTTCTGCTCAAGTCTGGCGGCTAGCGCAAACTGTTGTGCCTTGTTGCTGGTTTTAACGTATTCGGTGGGCCATGTCAGGGGTGTAACCATAGGTCGTTGTTCTGTAGCACTAGTGCCATCCTTGGTTAGAGGAGTATCTAGTGAAACATTGGTGATTACCTGGAGCTCTGAGGCGTCAACGGGATATTCAACCAAGAATTCGTCGTCTTCCAGGTGGTAGGTAAGGATTTCTCGTATGGGTGGTGCATAGTCTGTTACCCATATGTCTTCCTTCGTATCAAAGGAGTCTTCATCATCATCAGGGATAGGTTCAAGGTCGGGCACCGCTGTCGGAGTTTCTTCGTCAGGGATTTCTTCTATGGTAGCTCGGGTTGTCGGTTCTTTAGATGGTGCGACCAGTTTTACAGGAGGCGCCTTCGGCAGCACTACGACTGGAACCGGGTCGGTTTTCTGACTTCTCGCTTCTTTCGTTTTATGAAAGAAGGGAGGGAGCCCGTTCTTCTTTCGTTCCTCATCTACTTCTTCTTCAATCTGATCGCTCTTCTCTGTTCTGGAGAGTTCTAGCATTTCTGCTTTCCATCAAATTACCGGGTCCATGGCGTGTAGCCAGGGGATCCCAAGTAAGATCTGGTCACGTCGGCCAAGCCGCGTGATGTTAAACTTTCCGATCATCGATCGGTTGTCTATCTTGACAATGAGGATGCAGTATTGAGTGATAGCGCCTCCCTTCGCATAACTCCCATCCGCAGTGGTAACTTGGAATGGTTTCGATAGTTTATGTGTTTGGATTCCATGAGTTTTGATGAACTCTTCAGAGATAAAGGTTCCGGCAGTGCTGGAGTCAACAACAGCTGTTGTTTCGACGGTTTTTAGACGAGTTTTGGAGATGAGGGAAATGGGAATGCGAAGTTCCTTTCTGATTCCAGTGCTCTGTACAAGTCTAATAGGTACATCGGAAGATACTGACGTCGATCCAGTCTTCCACATCAAAAATCCTCGGTGAGGCGATGGATTGTTGTATCCTCTTCTTCGCTGTCGCTCATCTCTTCTCTGCGAACAGGAATCTTCTTCTTCTGTGGGCATGCTCTAGTGAGGTGGCCCTTCTGATGACATGTAAAACATAGTCCCTTCTTCATATGATCATTTCTTTCAGCCTCAGTGAGCTGAGCTACTTCCATGGTGTTGGGATCGTGCCGATCAATGGATGGTCTGGGTACATAATGTTGTCCCGACGGTCTGGTGGTGCTTCAATGATTTGTTCGATATGTGGCCCTCCTCTGATAGTTGCTATCAAGTCTAATGGCTGCAGCAATATACTTATCAAAGTCTGTTGGGATAGTCTCCATCTGAAAGACGGAGTTGACGATTCCCCTTTTTAATCTGTCATTGAAGAACGAGATTAGGACGGTGTCTTGCTTCACGGAGGCTTGTGCAGCAAGGGTTTTGAAACTGGTGACGTAGGAAGTGAGGTCGCCCGTCTGTTTCAACGTCCGGAGTTTGTTCATGGCAATACTGATGGCATTGGCCAGCATGAATGCTTCTTTGAACTTGGTCTCAAAGTTTGCAAAGGTTCTGTAGGACTTAGCGACGGTATTTTCGACTTCAGTGTAGAAAGTAAGTGCCCAGCCCATAGCACTTCCTTCTGTCATATATGCAAGAGCGGTAATAACCTTCTTGTTGTCTGTGTTGTAGATCGTAGCATTAAGCATTAAGTACACTTTAACCACATACAACCATCGTAGAGCCTGGTGAGGGCTTCCGTTGTAAGTGGACAGGGCTCCGGCTTTCAATTCTGGGGTGGTGGACATCCTGAGCATCTGGTCAAGTGATGTTTCTGGTTCAGGGGAACGTTGTCGTTCTCTCGCTGAGTTCTTTCTGGGATCTGTGGCCTTTCTGATAGAAAGGGTCGATAGATGACTTTAATCTTTTGTTACGGTGAACTAGGATGGGCACGACGACAGGTACTTGATAAGAGCACGCCTGAAGCCAGATTGTGTCCTTACAAATGTAAGGTTCTTAAGACAAGTCAGAGAGAGTGTCTCTAACTTGAATATCGGTTATCAGACGACTTAGGATTGGAGATCCTAAGCAAAGGATAGTTCAGGTAAGACCTAGTAGATTAAAGTGAAGTCTATCTAAGTACATGACCGGGTTTATATAGACATAGGTACTGTAAGGCAGGTACATACGCGTCATTGGTCGAGTCAGAGATAAGAACTACGTCATTGAGACGAGTCAGAGATAAGGGTGACGTCATCTAGCAACGGCACTTGGCAGTTGTGATGTAATACAGATATAGGAAGTGGTTAGTCTAATGATGGCACAGTGGGGTGCGGTCATGATGTAATACAAGTGTAAGGAGAAAAGAGATAGGGGGCAACCATGATTGTAACAGCAGTACTGTGCATTACACAAAGGTGTGGAATGCCCTGCTTCCTCATTTCAGTTGCTTCAATCACTATCACCCGCACCACGCTGCTGCTGTACAAATCTGATGCCCACTGTGAATGAGGCTATAGGGTGGCTCGATATCCTGTGGATTGCTTCTGTCCTGTTGGTATCAGCACTGCATATCACTGCATGGTGTATATGTGCATGCTATGGTTTCCTCATTTATATTCCATCAGGACTTCACAGGTACTGCAGTTTTTGTGACCTCCAGGACACACTTTACTCTCAAGTGCCAGTTTCAATCCATCCCTCAGTCATATGTCAAGCTTTGTCCCTGGTCATTTCAGTGAATACCCTCCACCTTTGGGAGAGGGGCTGAGCCACCCAGAACACCCCCAGGATCCAGGTCAGACAAACCTCATCATCAATGAAATGCTATGAGTCACTGTCAATAGTATGTATCATCTATCTTCATTTAGCATGTACCGATGATTTCCCAAAGCAATTCTGGCCACACTTTATTTAGTTATTATTCTGCTGGTTTGTTTTGCAATGAACTCTGTGCCAGATCCACTGGTTGATACCCTCCAAGCCTTGGGTGAGGAGCCAAGACACCCAGAACAACCCCATGGCCCAAGTGAGACGCATGTCATGGGAGTGCAACAAGTCATCATTGCTGGTATGTGATACCAATCTCTGTTCAGCATGTATTGATGATTCCTCCCAAGCCATTCATGCAACTGATCTCACTCTTGGTCTCCGACACATCCCTGCTGGCTTCCTTGTGGTAGTAAAGACCAATGGTGCTGAATGCCAAACAAGCAACAAACCTGTACATGTAGATCAGGCTGTTGTTGAATGGAATGAGCCCATACTTCTGTATGTTATCCTTAATCGTCTTTCTTGCAGGTATTGAGAAAGACTCTAGGCCATGTGAGCCATCTTACAGAGTGCGGGTCAGCATTCATGCCTCATTTGAATTGGGCCCTGTGCTCTGTCATGGAGAGGTCCTTTGTACATTCGAGATCTCCATTGGAGAATTACTGGATCACAATCATTGCAGCGAAAAATTGCATCATCAGTATTGTCTATTGCAAATAACACCTGACAGATGGATGTTAATGAGTATCATAGCTATAATCTTTCAACCCAAGCAGGGGGAAGTGGTATCCCTGTGTACTTCACTGTTCATGACAGTGGAGCAGCGACTTTCTGATGAAAATAATGCTGTAGATCTTTGCCCCCTTACTACCGTGAGTGATGCATGCAGTCTGGCATTCTGATACTGAGAGCTTGTAATGTGTAGTTTATATCCTGCAATATGGATGCATTAGCACTAATGATGGATGCTGGACATTATCTTCTTGCATGATACCATAGGATGCAGAACAGCAGGGATCTCAACCAATGCATAAAGCACTTTGAACATGCCTCAGATCTCTGCCCCACAGACCATCCCTACCGTCCTGCAGCACTGTGCAATTTAGCCACCGCAAAGTTTGTTAGCTGCCAAGCTAACAGAAGATACCTTGATTTCAACATCTCTGTCACTCTTTTTCAAGATGCTCTTGATTTGTGTTCCACTGGTCATCCAGACTGACCCATTGTTACGAACTAGGATAGTGATAACAACAGCAGCTTGATAAGAGCGACGGCTGAAGTTATGGACAAGACCTTGCACATGCAAGGGTTGTAAGACAAGCCAAAGAGAGTGTCTCTGACTTGAATATCAGATCAGACGACTTAGGATTGGAGGTCCTAAGCGAAGGATGTTTCAGGTGAGAACCTAGTAGATTAAAGTGAAGTTCTACTGAGTACATGACCAAGTATATATAGTAAGTAAGCGCTTTAGGGCAAGCACAATGAGTCATAGATAAGGACGAGTCAGAGATAAGAATGAGTCAGAAGAGATGAGTCATCTAGTGATGGCAATAGCAATCATGATGTAATACAGATAGAAGAAATGAGTCATCTAGTGACGGCGACAGCAATCATGATGTAATACAGTAAGAGATGAGAGAAATGAATAGGGGGCAAGTGTAACTGTAACACCCATCACCCAACTCCATCTCGCCATCTCTCTGTTGTCTTGCTTCGCAAAATGGGGATTCCAAATGGATGCAGACATAGCTGAAGAGTTACTGATCGAAGTCCTTGATGTTTGCCATGCCAACAGCCACATTCACAGAGCAGCTTTGCTTGCAATCAAAACATCTGCTCTGCCTCTGGCTGGAAACACTGATGCAGGTGATCTTGGGCAGGAGCAGCCTGCTGCATTTGTGCTTCCGTTATTGCTGAATCAACTTGCTAAACGAGCAAAGTGGTGTTTGCATATGGATGATCTCCATGCCTTAGAAGAAGTGATATCCCTTCCTTACAATGCACTGGGATACTACAATGCTATGTTACGAACTAGGATAGTTGTAACAACAGCAGCTCAATAAGAGCAGCGGCTGAAGTTACGATCAAGACCTTGCAAATGCAAGGGTTGTAAGACAAGACAGAGAGAGTGTCTCTGACTTGAATATCAATCTAGATGACTTAAGATTGGAGGTCTTAAGCGAAAGATGTTCCAGGTAAAACCTAGTAAGATTAAAGTAAAGATCTACTGAGTATACGACTGAGTATATATAGCATGTAAAGACTTTAGGGCAGGTACGTATACGTCAGCAATGAATCAGAGATAAGAATGAGTCAGAGATAAGAATGAGTCATCTAGCGACAGCAACGGTGATCATGATGTAGTACAAATATAGCAGAAAGTAAGTCTAGTGATGGCGCAGGGTGGTGCAGTCATGACATAATACAAAGGGAAGAGGAAAATGAATAGGGGCGAGCATAACTGTAACATGCTATGCATGCTTGCCGAGGGCAATTACTGTGTAATCTGAGTATAATGATGGTTACTCACTTCAAACATTGAGGCAGTGATGAAGACTTAGATCAAGCTATCATGCTACAGAGCAAGGTGCTGGCCTTACACCCACTTGGTCACCCAGATCAGTCCTTGTCATTAAATAATCTTGCGATTCAACTCTCCACCCACTTTCATCACCAAGGCAATGGCAAAGACTTGGATGAGGCTATTGCACTTTACAGGGAAGCACTTGCTTTTTGCCCTGTCCATCACACAGATCTGTCCACATCATTGAGTAATCTTGTTGTTCAACTTTCCATCTGCTTTGAGCACTGAGGTAATGATGAAGACTTGGATGAAGCTACTGCAGTTCACAGAGAAGTGCTGGCTTCATGCCCTGTTGGCCACCCAGATCGGTCCTCATCATTAAATAACCTTGCAGCTCAACTCTGGACCTGCTTTTGCCACTGAGGCAATGGCAAAAACTTGGATGAGGCTATTGCACTTAACAGGGAAGCACTGACTTTGTGCCCGGTTGGTCACACAGATTGGTCCAACTCATTGAATAATTTCACAGTTCAACTCTTCACCCACTTTGACCACCAGCACAATGCAAAAGACTTGGATGAGGCTATTGTACTTCAGATGGAAGTCATGGTTTTGTGCCCTGTCAGTTGTGAGGATTGGTACAAGTTGTTGAATAATCTTGGCAATGGACTCTCCATCCATTTTGACCACCAATGTAATGCCAAGGACTTGGATTAGGCTATTGCGCTTCACACAGAAGCTCTGGCTTTATGTCCTGTCAGTCACTCAGATTGGTCCTTGTCATTAAATAACCTTGGGAATTGACTCTCCATCTGCTTTGACCACCAAGGCAATATTGAAGACTTGGATGAGGCTATCACACTTCACAGGGAAGCACTGGCATTGTACCCTGTTGGCCACACAGATCGGTCCAAGTCATTGAATGTCCTTGCAAATCAACTGTCCACATGGTTTGATCACTGAGGCAATGGAGATGACCTCAATGAGTCATGAGAGAATCTCTGCTGTGCCTTAACTCTGTTGACACAACATGATCCTTATTGATTACAGGTCCATAGTTCGTTAGCTGCTGTCTATATGTTGTTCCATCAATCAGGACTTGATGACACTGTCCCAGGTGAAGATACTATTGGTCTGAATGCTGTCATGCATCATTTCAATGCAGCAGCAAATGTTGTCTCTGCAGGTTTACTTCATTGCCTGCGAGCAAGTCTACACTGGGTTTGCCATGCTAGTCAATATTCACATGATACTCAACTGCAGGCTTATGCAACTTCCATGCAACTTCTGGATGCTTACATGTCCATGACAGCTTTAGTATCATCTCACCACAATGCCATGAAGGAATTCTGAAGGACACTTGCTGTGGATGCTGTGTCATGTGCTCTTTGTAGTGGTGATGTGTGTTGTGCTGTTGAGTTGTTGGAACAAGGCAGGACAGTCATCTGGGCCCAGATGACATGACTCTGCACCCCTCTTGATAGCCTCCAGACTTGTGGAGATCATGCAGTGGCCCTGATGAAGAGATTCAGAGACATCAGCTCCCTCCTTGATGAACCTCCTGCAAACTATCCAAATGCAACCCCAAGAGTCAATGTAGAAGCAGAAGAAACCCCATACAGATGTTTAGTGAAGGACTGGAATACAGCTGTAGAATATTGAGGGCTTCTCTCACTTCCTACTCTCCCCTTTGTTCTCCAATCTTCAAGATGCAGCTCATGATGGGCCTATCATTGTGCTCATTGCAAGCAAGTTGTCTTGCTATGCTATTATTATCCCACATAAGCAGCCTCTGACTAAGATTCCACTCCCTACTGATTTTGAGAAACTTCAGACATTGGTGGCCAGACTCCAACACAGAAGTACACCAGCACTGACAACAACCTTGGCAGAATTGTGGGATAAGGTTGTCCACCTGGTGGTCAAAAATCTGCGCAGATTTGCACAACCAGGCTCCCAAATATGGTGGTGCCTGACATCTGTCTTCAATTTCTTGCCATTGCATGCTGCTGGCCAGTACTGGAAGGATAGGCAGTTCCTTTTACAGTTCTACATCTCTTCATACATGCCATCACTTACCACACTGATAAAGGCTCATAGACATGACAGGTCTCTGTCAGTGTCCTTTGCTGCCATTGGTCAGAACCTCCCAGATGGCGCTTCTTTCATGCTGGATGGTGTGGAGCCTGAGCTAGAGTTGGTGAGGAGTCTTCTACCCCCTTCCCCGGCAGTTTCCTTTACCAAGATAACAAGTGTTGATGCCATGAAGTTGAGAGCACTGTCCACATTGCAAGATAATACTTGGCTCCATTTCGCATGTCATGGGACACAGAAGCTTGATGAACCCTTCAAGTTGGCCTTTCTCATGCATGACCAACCACTTTCACTCCTTGATATCACCCAAATAGTTCTCTCTTGGCATCAATTTGCATTCATTTCTGCCTGTGAAACTGCTGTCAGTGACTCTAGTACACCTGACGAAGTGATACACCTAGTGGCTGGCCTGCAGTTCACTGGGGTTAACAGTGTTGTTGGGACATTATGGAAGGTCAACAATAATACTGTGCAGCACTTAGTTGAGGCATTCTATAAAAACCTTTGCAGGGATGGCAAAATGAATTCCAAACGAGCTGCCCAAGTGCTGCACCAAGCAGTCCACTTGTTGGCTCACGACAAGGACATGCCCTTAGATCAGTGCATAGTGTTCATGCATATTGGCATATGATCGATTTTGTACATACTCCTAGCTTGTTGATTAATGCATTAATCTTACAACTTCACATGTAGCATCCAGCCATGGTTATGTGCAGTCTGTTGCCAAGAAGATAAATCTCCACATTTCAACCGTATCCTCTCCTATACAGTGACTTGCAAAACCATTACAATGTTTGGTACTTTTTCAGTGTACACAATATAGCACCTATGCACATGGGAATCATGCTTAGTGTTGGTGGGGGCGTGTGAACTACAAACCCTTGGCTACAGACTGACACTTAGATCATGTGATTTGGCCAAGGAGATGTGAAGATATGCCTATTTTAAGACAGAGATACCATTGTAACAGTTTTACAGCTGTTGATATACATATCAGTGCCCAACCCCATTTAGACTTCCCCTGTCTCCGGACTCTGGTTAACCATGTTTCCCTTCTGGTTATTGATCCATTACATACATTTCATTTCCGGTGTTCATTATTTGTGATCCATCCTACTTACTAATAGACTTTGCATATGCTTTGTACATAGCCTTTATGTTTGCTGATTGATTCCTATATGATACCTACAGTATATAAACCTCCTGTAACTCTCAGAAATACTCCAGTTTTAATATCATCTTAGTTCCTGCTCATTCCTGTGTCCTCCAGACTTGAGACAAGTCTCTTGTCATATTCCGAGTCTTAGGATTGCATCCTAGACTACATTTCCAACTCTACCTTAAGGTAGTCTATCCTCTGTTAGTTTCTAGTCTGGACTTCGTCCAGATTAGTCTTATCCACTTGCCCAAGTAACATCCGGACATCCATCAGATTTATCTCACATTTCAGATCCAGATGTCTGTTGTCCACCCTAGTCAAATCCCAGAAACTCCGGATGACTGTTCTAGCCCCCGGAAATTAAGGGCACATACTCAGGAAAGGGGCACAGTGTACGAGCTGAGGCCAAGCCCTTGTGATCTGACCCCCTTGAGCATGCAACCTTAACAATCACCCAGCTCTATCTTGCCATTACTCTGCTGTCTTGCTTCACGAAATGGGGATTTCAGATGGATGTTGATGTGGCCAAAGAGTTGTTGAGCAAAGTCCTCAATATTTGCCACACCAACAGCCACATTCACAGGGCAGCTTTGCTTGCAATGGAGACATCTGCTCAGCATCTGGCTGGAAGTGCTGCTGCAAATGATCTTGGGCAGGAACAGCCTGCTGCATTTGTGTTTCTGTTATCACCAAATCAACTTGCTGAACAAGGAAAGCAGTGTTTGCACATAGATGATGCACATGACTTGGATGAAGTGATATCCCTTCATTATGATGCACTGGAATACTACAGCACCATGCATGATCTTTGAAGGCAATTGCTGGGTAATCTGAGTGTACTGCTGATCACTCGCTTTGGGCGTCGAGGCAATGCCAAAGACATGGATGAGGCCATTGTACTCCTGAGGAAAGTGCTGGCTCTGCACCCTGCTGGCCACAGTGATCAGTACATATATTTAGTTCACCTTGGGAATGAACTCTGCAAGCACTTCGAGCAATGAGGCAATGACAAAGACCTGGATGAGGCTATTGCACTTCACAGGGAAGCGCTGGCTTTGTGCCCTGTTGCTCACAGACATCAAGCTGGGTCATCAATTACCATTGGCAATGGACTCTCCAAGCGCTTTGAGCAGGCTTTGCATCCAGTCAGCAATGTCACAACATTAAACAGCTTTGCAATTAGCCTCATCACCCGCTTTGAGCAATGAGGTGATGCCAAAGACTTAGATGGTGCTATTACACTTCTGAGGGAAGCATTGGCTTTGTGCCCTGTTGGCCACACAAATCGGTCCATGTCATTAGATAACCTTGGGACTTGAATCTTCCTCCACTTTCAGCACCAAGGCAATGCCAAAGACTTGGATGATGCTATGGCACTTATCAGCAAGCACTAGCCTTATGCCCTGTCAGTCACATAGCTTGGTCCAATTCATTGAATAACCTTGCAGCTCTACTCTCCACCTGCTTTGATCACCGAGGCAGCGATGAAGACTTGGATGCCGCTTTTGCACTTGATAGGGAAGCACTGGTTTTGTGCCCTGTCAGTCACAAAGGTCGGTCTTCATCATTGATTAGTCTTGTGAATTGACACTCCACTTGGTTTCACCACCAAGGCAATGCCAAAGACTTGGATGATGCTATTGCACTTTTCAGGGAAGCACTGGCTTTGTGCCCTGTTGGTCACACAGATCAGCCCAGGTTATTAAGAGTCCTTGGGAGTGGACTCTCCAAGTGCTTTCGGCACCAACACAATGGAGAAGACCTCAACAAGTCACAAGAACATCTCCACTGTTCATTGACTCTGTTGATGCAACATGATCCCCGTCAATTAGATGTCCATGCATCAGCAAAACCCTGATTTGGGTACAGCGCCACAGCCACACAGCATGTCACAGGTCACATAGATTTTGTTGTAAAGGCTCTGCAGCACCACACAAGTATTGATTCTATGTAAAAATGAGTGTAATGTAGTTATAAACATGTATATAACAAGATGGTGTGCTAATAATTATGTTTTATTGAGAAATTGTGTAGTGTGCAGCACTGTACAGCGCTGTACATGGGGGGACCTCGCTGTGACACTGTGATTGCTGTGCAGCATCGTGCAGTGCTGCACATAGGGTTAGGGTTTTGCTGATGTGGGTCGCTAGCTTCCGTTTATCTGTCGTTCCATTGATCAGGACTTGACGGCACTGTCCCAGGCGAAGATACTGACGGTCTGAATGCTGCCATGCATCATTTCAATGCAGCAACAAATGTTATCTCTGCAGGTTTACTTCATCGCCTGCGAGCAAGTCTACGCTGGGTTCGCCATGCTAGTCAATATTCACATGATACTCAACTGCAGGCTTACACAACTTCCATGCAACTTCTGGACGCTTACATGTCCACGACAGCTTCAGTATCATCTCGTCATGATGCCATGAAGAACTTCCCAAGTACACTTGCCGTGGATGCTGCATCATGTGCGCTTCGTAGCGGTGACGTACGTCGTGCAGTTGAATTGTTGGAACAAGGAAGGACTATCATCTGGACCCAGACTGACACGACTCCGCACATCCCTTGACAGCCTTCAGATTCATGGTGATCATGCGGTAACTCTGATGAAGAGATTCAGAGGCCTCAGCCACCTCCTTGATAGACCCCCTGTAAATCATCCAGAAGGGACCCCAAGAGTCAATATAGAAGCAGAAGCAACCCGATACAGACGTCTAGTAGAGGGCTGGAATGGAACTGTCGAAGAGATCCGGAAGATCGAGGGCTTCTCTCGCTTCCTACTCCCCCCTTTGTTCTCCGATCTTCAGGATGCAGCTCGTGATAGGCCTATCATCATGCTCATTGCAAGCGAGTCATCTTCTGATGCTATTATTATCCCACACAAGCAACCTCCGACTAGCATTCAACTCCCCACCAATTTGTTGAAACTCGTTGAATTAGTGTTCGCATTCCGAGAGGCAATTGAAAAAGAGGCCGGTCCTAAAGGGAACCAACCAGCGCTGACAAGAGCTTTGAGGGAGTTGTGGAATGACGTCGTCCGCCCAGTGGTCGAGAATCTGGGCAGATTTGCAGAACGAGGTTCCCGAATATGGTGGTGCCCGACTGTCTCTCTTCAATTTCTTGCCATTGCACGCTGCTGGCAAGTACAGGGCAAACGGAAGTCCCTTGCGCAGCAATATATCTCTTCGTACACACCATCGCTTACTGCATTGATGAGGGCTCGCAGGAGTCATGACAGGTTGCCGTCGGTGTCCTTCGCTGCCATTGGCCAGAATCTCCCCGCCGGTCATTCATCCACTTTGGAATTTGTGGAGCCTGAGCTGGAATTGGTGCGGAGTCTTTTGCCCCATCCCCCAACGGTTTCCTTCACCAAGATAACGAGTGTTGGTGCCACGAAATCGAGAGCACTGTGCGCATTGCAAGACAGTACTTGGCTCCATTTCGCGTGTCACGGGACACAGAAATGGGACAAACCCTTCAACTCGGCCTTTCTCATGCGCGACCAACCGCTTTCACTCCTCGATATCACCCAAATGGATCTCTCTCCGCATCAATTTGCATTTCTTTCTGCCTGTGAAACTGCAGTCGGTGACTTCGAAACGCCCGACGAGGTGATACACCTGGCAGCTGGCCTACAATTCGCTGGGGTTAAGAGCGTCGTTGGGACATTCTGGAATGTCAACGATAGTGCTGTGCAGCGCTTAGTCGAGGCATTCTACAAAAACTTTTGCGGGGATGGCAAAATGAATTCCAAGCGAGCTGCCCGAGCGCTGCATCAAGCGGTCCACTCATTGGCTCAGGAGAAGGGCATGCCCTTGGACCAGCGCATAGTGTTCATACATATTGGCGTATGATCATTTTCGTGCGTCCTCCTACCTCTTTGACTAAAGCATTCTTGAGACGATCTGACGACTTCGTGTATAGCATCCAGCTATGGCTACGCACAACCTGTTGCCAAGGACTCAATTCGATATTTCAGGCTTCGAGAGACTGTATACCTCCAGGATATTTACACCTAGTTTCGACTTCGATTTGTATTTCCAGTCTATTCTCTCAGAGCTGAGGTGTATATACTGGTACTTTGTGGGTGAGGGTGAAGTTCAAAATTGTACCTTTGAATGCGGATCTGGTATGTCATATCATATAGCGGCGGCAAGACACAATTACCATAGACGTGATAGTCGTGGGTCTCAATTTCGCGGTTTACGATCGATCCTGCAGCGTCGAAGACATCTGACTACTGCTAGCGTACTATATAGCACTGCTATGCACCTAATGCTAAGCCTGTCAGTAATCCATCGATCGTAAACGAAGAAACAAACCAATTTATCGCAGTAAAGGCATCCTTGAATATACTCCCAGCTATCGTGCGGCCGAAGATGTAGTGCTTATGAAAATTCAGCCCATAGATGAATGCAGATCAATGGTCATTCGTTCTCGCTATTCAGGAAGGATGCTAAAAGTATTGTGTAAAACAGAAAGTCAGATTGAAAGATTGCAAAGTATCTCGTCAAGGCGTAAATCATACTGAGAATGATGGTATCGTAAAATGTGTGCACTGTGCATCAGAAGAAAAAACAGGTAAATGATCTATATATTGTACGGTCAGCTCCCTGCCTGCAATATTGTTTCACAAAAAAGGAACAAATCAATGATCTATGCGTCGTGCAAATTATAGTGTACATGAGCTCTGGTTAGAGGAAGAGGGTGAAGCAACCTGCAACAGAGGCAAGAAGAGTAAGCGATAAAGCGATGTCCTTGATAGGAGAAGCAGATCCAGAGCTTGTGCTGCCGCCGGTCGAGTTTCCACTCCCACTCGAGCTTGCGGAGGTACTAGTAGGTAGGGGCGGTAAGCCAGTCACCTGCACCGGGTTCGGGTCGGAAGATCCGGTTGAAGAGCTCAAGCCACTGGCAAGCTGGGCGAAGCCAACGGCAGCGGGGCTAGCACGGAAGACGGAGTACACATTCTTCAGGAAGGTGTCACCGACAATCCAAGCAGGAGCACTACCAATCCCAATATCGAATATTCCGCCAGCACACATCTGAGAAGTGGAGCTCGCGTTGCCGAGCATGGTGTCATTGAGGGTACCGAGGTTCATGTCCAGGGGACTGATGGCCCAGTTTGTACCGCCGAAGGAAATATATACTGTGACATTAGTGTCGCAAGCTAGAAATAGATGAGTCTTCTGCTTATCCTGCAGTGCACACAGGTACTGACGGAATGCATATAAGCCTTGCCAATCTCCGGTAAGCTCTGTGGATCCAGGCACTTGGGCCCAAATACTTGCGGCAATGGGTGAGGGTGCCCCGATGAGAGTAGTACCTGTATCGATGGCAGCAAGACCACTAAGTGGGTCAATGGCGATCGTCTTGCCTTGTACAGTGACCGCTGCAAATTTCGTTCAGTACGCCGATAACATGACAGAATGACGGTGCTGACAGCTAACAGTGAGCAACCAATACGATGACGGACCAGTCAGGTTCAGGTACTCGATAGAGCCGGCGTATAAACTTGAATTTGTTCCTCCGAGAGTGAGCACACCGCCTGGAGCAGCACTAATCTGATTGGCTTGGTTGACGTAGCGTTCAAGGTAGAAAGAGAACAAGGGTTCAGCAAGATCATTGGCATTATAAAGAGCTTCCCAAAAGGGGGTAGTCTGGAGGGCAGAAATGGAGGCAAACCCGAGACCCATGATACCGGAGAGTCCATCGTCGATCAATCCAGAGGTAATATTAGTAACAGCGACTGTGGTCGAAATAAAGTTATATCTAAATCAACGCAAGTCATCGAGATAGACATACGGAGTTCCTGAGACATTTCGAAGGACCCGAAGGTGACACTATCTTGGGCGACAATACCTTGCGCCGATCCTGAGCCATAATCAATCTCCAGGTGGGAGGAGGTAGCCTTGTATGTCGACGACTTTGAAGGGTTAAATTCGGGCACATCTGATCCGCAAGAGGTGCATGAAGTTGTTGCAACCCAAAGGTCGGAAGAACCAGTATCGAGGACAAGATTGAAGTTCTGTGGTCTTCACCGAACGAAAGTTTACGAACATTGCTATATTCCGAACTTGAAACTTACGGAGTACCAATGCTCACAACGCCTGAGTAACTGGAATCGTTTTCCTGATACAGTTATGATCAATTCCGTGAGCTACGCGAAGAATCAAACTGCAAACCTCGTCCGTGATGGGAATTGCAGCAGTGCTGGCTCGCTTCGAATTCGTACTCTTCACATTCGTTGCTTGATAACCATACTTTTTTCGCAATGCTTCGACGGTTTTTGGTAAATTCGCAACGCGATTGGAATGACTTCGTCGCACGATTGGGGCATGAACTACGCCTCCATCTGGTTGGCGAGCAGCGAGAGCGAATGGAAGGAGTGCGATGGCTACAAGGGGGAGAGAAATCATCGGGGAACACGTGGAGAGTAAGACAGCGAGGAAATAAAAAAGAGCGACCTGTGGCGCCAAAGAGAAACAAGAACCTGTCCGGTACCTCGGTCCCGCCCAATGACCAAACACCCATAGTTAGCGTTGCCGTCAAAGCGAGTAACGTTCAAGTAACTAAAAACCTGAAGCTTCGGTTCGAATTTTGCTCAGTCGTCTTGTTCAGGCAAGGGCGGACCGTCGCTTATGGGATCCTGTCTGAGTTTGAAACTTAACCTAACTCACTAATGCTTGACTCGTGGCAGGGTCTGGAGGTCCCTCCCTCGGTCCGTCACAAGCATGCTTCTGTCCATTCCGCCTGAACCTATTGGATGTTCCCCGCACGTCAGCGCTGAGCGTGTACCCCAAAATTTAAAGTGACCCAAAAGTACATAACTGTATGGTGACGTGACATATTGTGTCCCACTACTTTGCAAATCAAACAAAACGGCATGAGTGTAACATGCCTAGCGAAAGTTAAACGAGTTCGATTGATGCCACGGAACAGATCTATGATAATCCACCAGCCTAATCGATACGGAGTATCTGAAAAATTATCCACAACGAAGGAATTGAGATGCCTGAACAATGAACGTACATTAGATTTCACAGAGAAGGCAAAGAGCAGACTCCTTCGCGTTCTTCTTCGACAGGAGTTGCACCGTCGTCTAGTTGAGCAGTTGCAAAATGAAGATTACAACTATCGTCAGCGAAGTTCCAAACAGTGCGCTTGTATGATCTTTATGCTGCCGCACTACTGTCACTTGATACCCATTTTGTTGGCGTTGAACTTTGGTAAATCGTAATTGTCCAAGGCGTCTGCACCACCAAAGTCGTTTTGAAATTCCCTATCTTCGAAACACAAAAGGAATGGGTCTGAAAGTCCTATTTTTGCGCTGCCACGAAGTCACGATCTCTGGCCAATGAACGAGTGCATAAGTAAGGACGTTAAAAATTCAATGTATCAGAACAACCTCTAATGTTTTGAGAATTGACTGTCACGCAGCAGGCCTCATTGAAGAATTATGACTGTCACGTATTGCAGTCATCGACCTGCGAGAACATGGAGGGAGCGCAAGACAGACCGCAGTCTATTCAAAACAACATGGATTGGTCGATGATTTCAACCCATGACGGTGGCGAGTTT